ATACACTAATTGGCCAAGTTAATGGTCTTGCTGGAGACCTTTAACCGAGAAGAGGATATCCTGGAAGCAGAAATGATCGGAAAAGAGTCACTAACAGGAAAAATCAACTTTAAAATAAAGACTACCTACATTCAACGGTTACATCTACAAACGGAAACTCGGGCTTACTTGTTGAGTGAAGAGATTGGGAGGTCGGTTCCAGCAGAAGACGACGGCGGATTCGTCTGGATTAGCTGTCGATTGGCTTTGCTGAAAGATTCATGCTGACGCTGTTTTTGAGGCAATCTCCTTCGATTCTGATAAAAAGGTGTACAGCTTTTGTCCGTCATATGACGGACATCATCAGGGCAAGGTACCATCGTCACAACAAAATTCAAGCTAACAAGTCAAGAAAACTCATCGGCAAATCCCTAAAAAAATGATTTAAATAGTTAAGGTCATATGTTACTTTATACTTGATCAAAGAGGCCAGATGTAAAGTATATATACCACTTTTTAGGGATTTTCCGGTGATTTTTCTTGACTCGTTAGCTTGAATTTTGCTGTGACGATGGTAACTCGCTCTGATGATGTCCGTCATGTGATGGGCGAAAGCTTAGCACCTTTTAACCGGAATCAAAGGAGATTGCCTCGGAAACAACGTCAGCATGACTCGCACGAAACTAAGCAAGTTTGCACCGGAATCGAAGAAGATTACCTCGGAAACAGCGTCAGCATGAATCTGCCCGATGTCCGTCATATGACGGACGAAAGCTTAGCACCTTTTCACCGGAATCGAGGGAGATTGCCTCGAAAACCGCGTCAGCATGAATCTTCCAGTAAAGGCCAATCGACAGCTGGTCAAGAGGAATCGGCCGTCGTCTTCTGGTGGAACCGACCTTCGAATCTCTTCACGCAACACATTCATTCGAAATGGAAGTAAGCTCAACAATTAGGAAACAAGAAATTCCTCGAAACCCAAAGTTTCTTTGCATATATTCGGGCTTACTCTTTTAGCAAACGTTTACAGGAATTCATTGGAAGAAAACTTCAAGATGCCATCACAGTAACCCAAAGTTCTCATGCAGTATCTGGATGACTAATTTATATTCTGGTTGCCTTGACGATAAAAACAGGCAGATTTCCTGAAGTTTATAGACCAGATCGAGGAAAGAATCAGGTTTACGATGGAAGTAGAGAAAGAGTGGCGTCTACTTTTCTACGCCCTAATGGGACGCTCAAGAGAAGATCGTTTAGAAAGTAGTAATATGCCGTAATATTACCCAATCTGCAGTCTCATAACGGCTATAGACTGAATATCAGAATAGTGAGGAATACTGGGATTTGGAATTGGAAAAATTGATTTGAATAGCTCTTGGCAACGGATACACAAGGGCAGTAATTAAAAGTCATACGGGCTATGGAAATTCGATGGAAAGACTGGAATCATGAAAGCAAGGTAAGGATAGAGAAAGACTCACAAAAGTGGATATACATATCTTCTTGCTAACTGACTCAAAAACTACGATTAATATTAATAAAAATGGAATATTTAGATGACTACGAATAAAAAAAGTACATTTTCCACTAGTTTACCTACAAAACACGAGAGGGTAGACAAACAGGATCGCTCAGGACTTTTCTGCAAAGCACGCGGCGTCAGCAACCAGAAATATGTTGGCGAAACATCAAGAGGAATCAGCATACAAATTAAGGAACATCAAAGGCTCTGCAGGAAAATGGATACCGAAATATCAGAAATGGCGGAATACATCATACAGGCTGGACATGAGATCGATTAGAAGGCTAGAGAGAGAAGGGTTTGTTACGGTGAAAACCTTAGAAAACGGAAAATTAGAGACATTAACACTCTTGAGGGCAACAATCTGATGAAAAAAAGGTTGGAAATAGGCCTGGGTAGCAAAAACATTGCCTAAGCAAACTCGGAGCAAACAGAGATAAGGCGATTTTTCCGTTTGTAATCAGGTTTTCTAGGA